GCTCGAAGTGGAACAGCTGAAGGAAAATTCGAACGAGGTGGAAGAAAGACACGGGAACCTCCAGTAAGAATATCAATAATAGGATCAAAGGGCTCCGAAAATCGAAAACATCAACAGGCTAAGCCTGAGCGGCAGCATGAGCAGAAGAGGACGGGACATGGGATCGACTCTGGTGAATGGTCTGCTGTCTTATCGGGTGACCTATACGAGTAGAAGACCCCTCAGGGAAAGAGGCACCAAGAGAAAGGACAACTCGATGAATCAAACAGGCATAAGGTAACCCTAAACGACCCCCAGGAGTACGAAAAGAAGCTAGAATCTACTGGCACACAAAAGTAGGAAGGTCGATAGAGTCCCTATGAAGTAGGGCATATAGAAAACGAGCCCTTACCATCGATAAAGAAGAAGTATGGGCAATAGGCCACAGGTTTGTGCACACGATGCGCAACAAAACCCATCGATCAGTGGGTAATGAACCCGTAGCCATAGCTGTAGGCCCCCTAGTAGACGGGGTGTTCAAAAGAGTCGACCGAACAAGGGCATCAACCGAAAGAGAAGCAGGGAGAAGATAGGGATACGTCGGATGAGGAATCTGAGGTATACCTAACGCAAGAGCTACTGCAGACGGAGTAACTCGAAAAGAATGACCTCTAAGAAAACTCCTAAACGACGACCCATCCACCTCATGAATATTAGCATAAAACTCTTGAATGAGGAGTGGAGGCTGAGGTGTAAGACCAACAAGGAGGGGCTCCCAACCCTGGGAAACAAAAATAGCGGCGACATCAACAGGAAGGTCAGACAGAACTACCTCACGTTCCATGAGAACGGGGCGTAAGGAGAACTGAGACGTGAAGACCTCCTGAGCTGTAGCAGAAATAAATCGGAATCTACTATAAGAATAAGCATAAGCATAATGTGAAATGCACGCATCACGAATAAGCACACAAAAGAATAAGCATAATGTGAAATGCACGCATCACAATGCAACATGATATGAGAAAATGCACACACAGAAACACATATGATCCAATCACATAAACATAAATGAAAACACATACGACATGCAACGACACTCAAACAAGTAGGAAGGAAACGAAGGAAAAGAAGGAAATAAAAAAAAATCAAAAGAAACCAAATAAGCATAAAAGTGAACTTTCATCAAACACGTGGCGTGCGTGACTTCGGCACCAAATTCCAAGCACATACGAGATCCAATCACAAATCCAAACACATCCCTAAAAATTACATGCTACGGACTTCACAATCAAACAAACCACACATCAAACGAATCAACGAGGTGTAAAAACTACATTGATGAACATGGACCAAAAACTTTAAAAAAAATGTGAAGAAACCCATAGGAATGCACTATAATTTGGGAAATGGAAAGAAATACTTGATGCAAAACATGTGTACAAGCAAGATGTAATGTCAAAATAACACAAACCAACACAATGATCAAGAAAAGAAATCAAACAAACCAAAAAAAATTGAAAGCAAAGAAAGTTGGGAATTACCTAAAGATTTTGCCAAGAAGTCAGTGTTTCAGACCCAAGATTATGTTAAAGATGTCGAATTGGGGCCAAAAATGAATTGGGAGTGAATAATTTTGATGGAAGAAGAAAAGAATTGGAGGAGGAAAAAAATGATGAAATGCGCGAAAAATTGAAACAGCCGCATTTTAAATATATATGTCGCTCGAGCGAGACCGGGGCGAAACTCGAGCGACATCCTTTCTGCTTTTGTCGCTCGAGCGAAGTCCAAGCGAGATTTGAGCGAAAATGAAATGTCAAAAATAGCACCAAACATTTGAAATTTATGAAAAGTAGCACAATTTTGGAAAATAACGAAAATAGGTCCAAAAACTTTTATTTTTATTTTCGGTTGTATGTATTATTTTTTGTTTTTATTTTTGTAAAGACAAACTAAAAAATCGATGATGAAGCACGTAGCCAAATATGTAGACAATACGAATAATATGCACAAAATCACAAACTCGACATTCAGAGTATGTAGACAAATCTTAAGTCCGCACATAGTTCAAAATCCCATGAAGTAAATTTTATACAGAACATTAGCGTGAAATGTGCCACGTAGTCCATGCAAGTTAGACTCGAAATCTTAAATTAGTGAGAAAGGACACGTGAAAACAACTGTAAAAGAGTGTATATTGACCAAGTGCCAGTTAAATCCAATTCCACGAGAACCTATATCAAACAGTATAATTGTCACAATTTTACTCCCCCTAACTGTATGCTATTAATTATTATTATTATATATATATATATATATATATATATATATATATATATTTAATAACATAAGAACTTAGGTTCAATCCTATCTTCATTAGGCGACAAAACTGACCCCTGAAACAAACTTTGGGCCGGTGACTCCCAAGCCAAGCGACCATAGGGCACCAGGTTAGAAACCCCTAAGGTTTAATTGTTCGAGTGAAATAGGCCCCAAGACAGAAATAAGTTCAAAGAATAATGTAGAAAATGGGGAAAGACAATATTGATTAGGTTACACTCGTCACAGATCAAGTCAAATGGACAAACAACCCCAATCACAGAAGAATACCATCCGAAGTCTCACCTATGCGGTCAAGACCCACCTACAGGACTATAGTGTGTGCTGTGCGAAAATGCATGACGAGCCGTATACCAAGAACTCCACAGAAAGTGAGAACTATGATGGAACCTCAGACTCGTACACATGATGAAAAATAGAGTTTGATCCTGAATGCAAACATCATAACGTCATACACGATGCACACAAAAAATTTTATTTATTTATTTTTTTTATTTATTTATTTTTTATTTTAAATTTCAAATGTAAACTTAATACTCAAAATAAAAACTAAAAAAAATAACTAACAAACAAAATGCACTACATACACATTTATCACATACAAGATATGAAATGAATAAGTGCAGATATGATAAATGCATGAATATGCATGAATTCATGATTAGATAGGCAAACAAATACCAACAGCCGTTCGAAGCGACTCAAATCTCATCCCATCTAGTGGTTTCGTAAGTAGATCGGCTAATTGGTTGTCAGTAGAAACATGATCTAAGGAGACAGCAGTTGTTTCAACAAGTTCACGAATAAAATGATGTCGTATGTCAATATGTTTTGTTCGAGAATGTTGAATGGGATTCTTAGAAATATTTATAGCACTGGTATTATCACAGAAAACAGTCATGGTCCCTTGATTAATCCCATAATCACTCAGCATCTGCTTCATTCAGAGAAGCTGAGTGCAGCAACTTCCAGTTGCTATGTATTCAGCCTCTGCCGTGGATAGGGATATGGAATTTTGTTTCTCACTTAACCAGGCTACTAGATTGTTACCCATGTAGAAACAGCCCCCAGAAGTACTTTTTCTATCATTTGCATTCCCCGCCCAATCGACGTCGGAGTAGCCAGCCAAATCAAGATTAGAATTTCTAGAATAGAAAATCCCTAGATCAACAGTACCACTCACAGCTAATGATGCGTCTAACAGAGCTTAAGTATGATTCTTTTGGATCTGCCTGAAATCGAGTACACACTCCAACACTAAAAGCAATGTCAGGTCTAGTAGCTGTGAGATAGAGAAGACTACCTATCATGCTTCGATATAGGGAAGGATCTACACTCTTACCTGAAGGATCACGACCTAACTTCAAGCTAGTACTCATAGGTGTCCTAGTATGCTTCTTACTATCTAACCCAAACCGCTTAACTAGATCCTTTGCATACTTAGACTGTGAAATAAACAAGCCATCCTCA